ACAAACATGAGCTCGTGCACACATTAGCATACTTACATGCACACAACATGTAGGAAGAAAAATCACAACCATCCATCAAAACTCGTGCACATATTAACATACTTACATGCACATAGCGCGTAGGAGGAAAAAATCACAACCATCCATTAAAGCTCGTGCACACATTAACATACTTACATGCACACTGGGCACACTACCAACAACATCTGGGATTAGCTCGTGCACACATTAACATACTTACATGCACACAGTTTGTATTTTAAGGGGGGTTTGTATTTGAATATATATATATATATATATATATATATATATATATATAAGAGCGCTCATATGTGGTCATGTCATTAGGTGTGGCGGTGTGGTCGTATCTGTGTCGTTGAATCAGTTTAATCTAACAGCAGCGGCTAATTATGAGAATTTGAGGATTTTCGCGCGTTTTGGTAAGTGGGGGTGTTATGGTAATTACAGTGGCTATTTATAGCGGCCAGGTTCCAGAATACACCAACAGTGTTGACAACATGCACCAATAGTGTAATAAAACACACCATAGTGAAACACACACCAATAGTGTATTCCCGAACACCGTATGGTGTATTTATTCATATCTAATGTTTTTGGTGATGCGTACCTAATTTGTGTATTTTTTTGCTGTGTATTTTATAACACAGATGGTGTATATTTGTATAACAATTGGTGCGGCCGCACTGACCACACGGGAAGGCGTTGCCGCACCTGAACTTGGCACCAATGGGAATATACAAATACACAAGAGTAAGGCTAATAATGCATCAATTACACAAATAAAACACACGACAATGTGATTTTCCTTATTCCGAGGCCCTATGACGAGTTTACCATTGCAGTTCGCTGGGTAGGAGAACGTGCGCGAAAATACTAGAAGAATCTTGATTAATGTGATTCATTGGATTTATCTAATCTAATGGCCTGTAATTGACCATATGACCACACCTAACAACATGGCTGCACTTGATTGCCCCTCTATATATAGAAGAGCGCTCATATGTGGTCATGTCATTAGGCGTGGCGGCGTGGTCGTATCTGTGTCATTGAATCGGTTTAATCTAACAGCAGTGGCTAATTATGAGGATTTGATGATTTTCGCGCATTTTGGTCAATGGGAGTGTTATGGTAATTACAGTGGTCATTTATAGCGGCCAAGTTCCAGAGTACACCAACAGTGTTGACAACATGCACTAATAGTGTAATAAAACACACCATAGTGAAACACACCAATAATGTATTCCTGAAAACTGTATGGTGTATTTATTCATATCTAATGACGCGTTTTTGGTGATGGGTACCTAATTTGTATATGTTGTTTGCTGTGCATTTCATAACATGGATGATGTATATTTGTATAACAATTGGTGTGGTCGCACTGACCACACGGGAAGGCGTTGCCGCACCTGAACTTGGCACCAATGAGAATCTACAAATATACCAGAGTAAAGCTAATAATGCACCAATTACACAAATAAAACAAGCAACAATGTGATTTCCCTTATTCCGGTGCCCTATGGCGAGTTTACCCTTGCTGTTCGCTGGGTAGGAGAATGTGCGCGAAAATACTGGAAGAATCTTGATTAATGTGATTCATTGGATCTATCTAATCTAATGGCCTGTAATTGACCATATGACCACACTAACAACATGGCTGCACTTGATCGGCCATATATATATATATATATATATAGAGGAAGGTTCAAGTGCGGCAGTGCACTTAGGTGCGGCGGTGCGGTTAATTGTAGGCCATTAGATTAGATAAATCCAACGAGTCACATTTATCAAGGCTTTTCCGATATTTTCGCGCGCGTTCTCACAGTACGCGAACTGCAAGGTTAAAGTCGTAATTGGGCACCAGAATATATCAAATCATAGTGTTGTGTGTTTTATGTTCATTATTGGTGCATTATTAACCTTACTGTGGTGTATTTGAGAATTCGTGTTGGTGCCTTCCCGAGCGGTCAGTGCGACCGCACTAATAGTTATACAAATATACACCATCCATGTTAGAAAATGCACACAAAAAAACATGCACAAATTCGAAACGCATCACCAGAACGCACCACTAGGTATGACTAAAAGCATCACACATTGTTCAGAATACGCCATTGGGGTGGTGAGTTATATGGTGTATTTTTTGGGTGTGTTGTGTGTTTTTTGGTGTATTTGTGCATTTCATTGTGGTGCTTTTTCCTAACACTATTGGTGTCTTTTGTTAACACTGTTGGTGTATATTGACAAGCAACCGATATAAATAACCACTACAATTACCATAACACCCCCCATTTACCAGGACGCGCTTAAATCTTTAAATCTTCAGAAATTAGCCGCTGCCGTTAGATTAAGCAAAATGGACGACGCTGATATGGCCGCACCGCCGCACCTAAAAGCCGCATATGAGCCTTATATATATATATATATATATATATATATATATATATATATATATATATATATATATATATATATATATATATATATATATATATATATATATATATATATATAGTTTGTACGAGTAGGTGCCCAGGTGCGAAATTGCGAATGAATCAGTGCGCGACACGTGTCCTCGGTGCATGTAAATGTGTTATATGTGCAAGTAGTTGGTGCACCTATGCAAGTAAAAAGTACATGTAAAATTACTTACAAGTGCACCTACTTTCACCTACAAGTGCATGTAATTTTGCCTTGATAACAATCATTGATCGGAACCTACTTTCGCCTACAAGTGCATGTAATTTTACTTTGTTAACATTCATTGATCGGGTGCACCTACTTTCACCTACAAGTGCACCTACTTTCACCTACAAATGTGCCTACTTTCACTTAGGTGGACCTAGTTATAACTATATGTGCACTTAGATCTGGACACGTGTCGCGCGCTGATTCATTCGCATTTTCGCACAGAACGCAACTATATATATATATATATATATATATATATATATATATATATATATATATATATATATATATATATATATGTGTGTGTGTGTGTGTGTGTGTGTGTGTGTGTGTGTGTGTGTGTGTGTGTGTGTGTGTGTGTGTGTGTGTGTTAAAATTCCATATTTAATACATGGATAATGATCTTTTTTTTTTTTTTTTTTTTTTTTTTTTTAATTTTTATTTTCATTTTTTATCCCTTATTTTTTATTCCATTGTTTAAAAGTAGAAGAGTAAAATGGTAATGAGTTTTGTAATTACAAAAGGATTTGATTCCAATAGTAGGATAACAAAAGTAGACAAACAAACATGGTAATGAGTATCAAGACCTATAGTAGGGTGCAAAAGTCCCCAACCAAACACACCCTAAATGTGCATCATATGTATTTCCATCTATAATAATAGGTTTATAATGTCCATTCTATATATTCATAAAAACAAAGTTTAATGTACACAAGCATTAGATTACTCATGACTACGGTTTAAATGCGGTTATTACTTAACCTTTTTGGTTTATTTACAATGGTGGTATAAAGCTAGTATTCTATACTTATTCCCTTACTTGCATTTAAGGATAAACTACCACTACTCACTCATTCTCATTACCTTACATTTACATATATTACCTTACACACTTGCATGATAGAGCATGTGTGTGAGTTATGTCTATATATACAGTGATTATATATTTATATATATATATATATATATATATATATATATATATATATATATATATGGACCTATCTATATCCGTACTCCTATGTGATATATGCTGAATGTTGATGTCAAATTATTTTTCAAACCTATATCTATATATATTTTACAGGGTTGAGTTATTTATACTTAGCATTTATGCTAACGGGTTCTTTCGTATGTTTTTCTTGATAACCCCTTTCAGGTTTGGAGTAATATTTGTAGAGAGAGCGCCTTGAGGAATTAGATAGATAGTATATGTTATCTCTAGTTCCTAGTATGTCGTTTTTGTTAACCCTTAGCTTGCTTGTATAATACTCCGTAGAACATATATGGATTTTCGAGTTAGTCTTTGTTTTGAGATGTGGATTATATAAATGAATAGATGTTTGGGCCTACCTAATCCTTGTTGTTTGATGTATTGTATAAGTTGAGATCTAGTAGTTTAGCCTTGTAGTCATCCAAGAGTGGATGGCTGCGGCGGTAGCATTCCCCGTTTAATGTTATTTCCGCTGTGTAAGCTCATAATTTATATAGGCTCTGGTGTTAGAAAACGGGGGTGTTACAATGCACCGTTAAAAAAAAGTAATTCTCAAGCCCCGTCACCAAACTCCGCCAGACCATTCTCAGTTCTGGCCGGGCCCTTTGTGGCTCAGCTACGTGTTGTTCGGACCGGGACTCGTGGGCCCTTGAGGCTCGGACACTCGGGCTCGTTACAACGCGCTAGTAGAAGCTCGTTTCGTTGAATTTGGAGTCGTGAAATATGATTTATAGTTGAATTCGCCAAGTTTAATTTGAGTATGCTGTTCACTACAAAAAAACGCGAAAATAGCGATGGAAAGTTCCGTCGCTAGAAAGGGAAAATTCCGTCGCTATTGCATTTCGCGACGGATTAGCGACGGAACGGGTCCGTCACAAAAAGTGGCGTCGCTAGAATTTTGCGACTCAATTTTTTTCCGTCGCTAATTTTAGCGACGGATTTTCCGTCACTAAACTTAAAAATATCCTTCGCTAATTTCCTCCCAGCGACGACCTGAATGACAAAATTTGTAAGGAATAGCGACGAAAAATTCCGTCGCTATATATAGCTACGGACATTCCGTCGCTATTTTGTTTCTGTCGGTGCCATTTAACTATAACTTAGAGAAGAGCATATCCGTCGCTAAAGTTAACGTCGTTATTTCTTAAATATTTAGCTACAGATTTACTACAGATTTACTACGATTGTTGTCCGTCGCTAAATTTTTATAATTTTTTTTTAAAAATCTAGCAATTAATTAATATCGCATCCATATATTAAACCTATAATATAATACTTCAATAATATAATTGCAAAATATATTATATTAAAAAATTCAATTTCAATAACAATAATAAAAATATAGCATTGTAAAGTTATTACATCGTTAGAAACGAGACCAAAGACCCCATAATTTTTTTTTTTACTTAAAATCCTATACAAAATTTTGCAAAACCCAACATAATAAACTATACAATATATTTTTCACAATAACACAATAAACTATACAATATATTCTTCACAATAATAATAGAATAGACCCCCCCAATTAGCCTGTACTTACTACTAGAATGTACACTACCGTTTTGAATGCTGATTTTTGCTTAAATAAACCACACGCTTCCAAGGCCTTTAGTAAATATGAGAAACTCTTCTTCTTCCAAACTTCTTTCCATCATCCTTCCATGTCTCAGATCAGCATTACCAATTACCACAGTATGCCACAAATGATTCCAATCACCAAAGCATGATATCTGTGAACACTAAGATGGTAAACCATCCTTGACGATTCTTCCAACTTCTGCATCAATAAAAGCTTGAAATTTAATTTCAGATAATCAAAATAGGAATTGGCAATTGGATCGTTTACCCTATGTTGTGTGTGTGTGTCAAAATTATATTAGACTTACCTTCCAGTTCATGAATATAAAACCAATATGTAGCAAGCATTCTTACATTCTTTTATATTACCACTCTTTCTAACCAGTGCACATATTGAACTGCAAAAGCATTTCCAAACAACCTTAATTGAATTTTTTTTTTCTCAAGCAGTCGTTAAAGGAGTTTGTGCCTCACTTCAAATCAAGTCATTTTTCATATGATGTTTACTCATTACTAAACATCCATCTTAGTATTCTCATCAATTACAACCATGAAGCATCATATTGTATAGACAATTTATTTGTTCACAGCTCAACATTCTCTATCATAATGCATAGTCAGCCTAATTGGTTACTGCGTGAACTTTATTGTTCACCTTTAAAATGGAAGGATAAACTAGCCAAGTAGGATAGAGAATGCTTATTATTACTCATCTTCAATTAGCAATACCACTTATATGCTACTGGGTTTCTTTAGAGACTTAACTTTTTTATCAATACCACATGCTTACCATTTTCAAAATTACTTAGCAAGTTGTTTGAACTATTAGATTTAGCATAGTCAGAATTGTTCTTTAACATTAGATTCAAGAGGAGCAAGGAATTTAGTTTGAAAATGGAGTGGTTTCAAATTTCAAACTTTAGGAAAAATCAGGAACATAACAAAGTGGAATACTTAGAAAGTAATGGACAGCTAGTACATACTTCAGCCCATCAATTGGCTCCCATGTATCTTCAAGGTCTCTCTGTGTTTCTTTTCCATAAGGATTTTAGATCTCCAAAACAGATATCTACCAGGTGTAGAATTTCATATTCTACATCTGAATCATCAGAATCTGCCAGAGAATTAGAATCATCTTCACCTTCTTCCATGAAAAAGAAACTTTTAAAATTTGAAAAACTTTAAGTGACTATTGCAGTCAAGTAAATTGTCATTCATTAAAGAACCAGAAAACAAAAAAAGGCTAATGTGTTGTAAAAAACCAAGATTTTTTTTTTTTTTTTTGGTGGGGGTGGGGAATAACAATATTAAAATACATAAGAATAAAATAATGATACCTTTACATACACACAATCTCCAATATTCAAAATAAAGCTAAGAACATTAGCTTGAGCATAATGTCAATCCACGTTCAATATTACTTCATCTTCTTCATCAGGACTGCAAAAACAAGTGTGCCATATAAAGGAGTGAAGACAAATAGAAGTTTTAAAAACCGCAAAGAACAGGACCTCATTTTGTTACCGCCATAGGGCAAGTTCATATGATATCAATCACTTTAGTATCCACCCTTGTTTTTTTTTTAACTTCTTTGACTCTGCAAAATCAAAAGGACATACATCTTGAGAATCAAGAACTCGATAAATCATGTAAGAAAATTGAATAAACTAATGTTGAAGGATTCATGAGAATTAAGAATTTTGATAACTCATGTAAGAAATTTGAGTACGAAACTAACGCTGAAAGATAGACAAAGAACATAGAAGATCAAAAAGGTTCCTAAAGAAATCATTCATTAACTAGTTAGTCGATAGAATACTGCTAGTAGTTAGAGGCTCATACCATTTTGATCTGTTTCTTTGGTTTTAAAAAATTATGGCACACTTCTATCACATTGTCAGATGCAGGATGCTCTTTGCCAAAAGGTGCGAACCTCACAAATACCTTGAAGGGTGATAAATTGAGTACATAAAGAAACTCTCTAATAGCATCCTACGAGTGGAGAAGGGGAGATTCCTCTAAAGCATCTTAATCAAGGATTTACACTTGTCACCACTATCCCTACAAATACAAGCGGAACAACACAACACAAAATCAAACAATTTTAAAACAAAAAATTTAATAGCAATTTATCCGTAACTTGTTCATCGAGCATATGAATAATGATGGTGCACAGTACCTGGGAGTAGAGGAAACTGTGTCGCAGGGGGAGGGACTCTTCGAGCAGACAGTGGAAACCGTGGTTTATGAGTTATTTGTTCTGTCATTGTATCAACATTAAAAGCCCTAAAAGAGAGACACACTAATACTGTGCAAGACCTGAAGGTGTATAACTTAGCTAAGAGGTAGATTTGTACCTTCGGAAACTAAAAAGTGATTAAAGGAGCGAGAAGACGAACCTGATTCGGCGGTGGTGGCGGTCGTTGTGTCACTGTGTCGGCGCCTTGGGGAGTGTCATCGGTCGGCGGGGCGGGGTTGCGACGGCGGCGGTGGTATAGAGCAGGGAGAAGCGATGGACAGAGTAGGGAGAGGCGGAAATGGGAGAGAGAGCAAGGATTTGGAAACTAACTTTAGGGTTAAAGTTAAAAAACTAGCGACGGATCAATGAACCCATCGCTAAAATGAAAAAAAAAAAAAAAAAAAATTAACCATGCATATTTAGCGACGGAGATGTAAATCCGTCGTTAAATTGTTAAAAACCACTTTGTAAGGTTAGTGACGGAATTTAAACTCTGTCGTTAAAATGTTTTAAAAAATTCACCTTTATAAATGTAGCGACGGATTTTGCGAAATAGATATGGATTTGAAAATCCGTTGCTAAATAACTATAGATTTGAAAATTCGTTGCTACATAGCGACGGATTTTTATATCCGTCGCTAAATTGTAGCAATTAAAATTTTGGAATAAACCCATGAAAAATTCGTTGCAAATCCGTCGCAAATTTGTCTTTAATTTTTGTGCTAAAATTTACCGCTAAAACTAGCTATGTATTTAACGACGGAAATAGTTCGTCGCAATATCCATCGCAAATCCGTCGCTAAATGTTCATTTAACAAAAAAATTAAAATCTGCCACTAATTTGTCGCTTTTCCGTCGCTAAATTAGCAACGGAAATCGTCCGTCGCTAAATCCGTCGTTATTTTCGCGTTTTTTTGTAGTGTTGTTGTGGCTATTGCCTTTGAATCATTCAAGTGAGTATGTTAAAGCATATGATTATATTTTATGAGTTGAGAAGCATGATCAATACTTGTTTTTGATTGAGAAGCATGCATAAATACTTGTTAGTATTTATTGAGAAGTTTTGCTAAGTTTTGAGAATTGTTGATCAAGTAGTACATGCTTTATGAGAATTCAGTGAATGAGATTGAGTTGGTTTTACAGTAGAGAGATTGTGTTTGTGCATTTCATTGTTTAAGTGCATCATTGGCTCTAAGTAAGCCTAAGTTCTATTTCAAAAACCTATATCTATTTTGGAAAATCATTTTCATTTTGCATTGAGAGTTGCATGATATTTGATTTCCAAAGTTGTGAGAAAGAGAAGTTGGTTGAGATTATTTGTGCATGAGTTTGCATAAGAAGAGTTTATGGTATGAGAAAGATGTTGCATGAGGCATATATATATATATATATATATATATATATATATATATATATATATATATATATATATATATATATATATATATATATATATATATATATATATATATATATATATATATGTTGTGAGATCAATAGATTTTTCGGAGGCCTGTTAGGACTATGTCCTTTCGGAAGAGAAGAGAAAGAAAGAAAGTTTGAGAAAGTTATGGACATTGCGGTCCGAGATGAAGTAGCGAGGCGTATTCCCACATTACTAGGTTGGATACTACCCGCCGGGTTTGGAATTCCGGTTAGGGGGTGTGCATACTGACAAGTACGATACCTGATTCCACAGAGATTAAGTTTAGAACCTATAGAAAAGGTTCCGCGGACGAGATTGAGATTAGGCCGGCTAGATGCCGAGCCCGGACAGGTTAATTCACACGTGGTAAAGTTCCTGCCTCGTCCATGAGTAAAGAAGAGAAAGTGAGTCTGTGTGACTCTGAGAGAAAGAAGAGAAAAACGGGTCTTTGAGACTCAACAGAAACCTCCAAAGAAAATTATACATTTTTGAGTGTGAGAGTATATACCTATACTTATAGCATCATCGTTTTCCTTACACTTGAATGCTTGATTGCATGTGTTGCATTTAGAGTATGTTGGGATGTTCAGTTTGTTATTGATTGTTGTATAGCATGAAAGCATGAGGTTGTTGCTATGTTATTTAATATCTCTTTATTTATTGTTGAAGCATGAGATTTGTGTTAAGTTGAGTACTTGAGAGAGCATGACTTTGTGTTGTCTATTTGTTGATTAGGTTGCAAGCATATAGAATCGAATATGGGTTTGTTGAGTTTGTTGTTTAAGTGTTAAGAGTGATGAGATTATGTGTACTTGCCAAATGATTTTCAAAATCTATATTCTATAGTACTTTACAGGGTTGAGAGATTTTATACTTAGATTTGTGCTAACGAGTTTATTTTCAGACTGTTTTGTAACCCCTTTCAGGTGGGCCCAGTTGTTGAGCGCGCACGAGTTTAGTTAGTGCGTAGATGAGCTTTTAGAAACTGGGGGTGTGCACGGTTGTTTTTGGTTTTGTTGTTATTGACTATTACCGTTATTGATGTTAGACTTTGGTTGACTGTTGGATGCTTAGTTACTCTTTTGTTGGTGTTGAACACCGGGGTTGCACACCTCCAGTTTAAGGTTAAATTAATGAAGTTGACTGTTTAGTTATTTTCCCTTTTTAGCCTGTGCAGTCACCTCGAGTGGTGATTGAGGCGATAACACCCGTTGGTTGTTTTAAAATAGAATTAAGTTTTCAAATCTTTCTTTTAGTTCATGCTTAGCTTATCTTATAGTTTTCTAGTCGAGAACCTGGTGGCATTTGCTTACACTCCAGCACTTTATTTTCAAACGACCACGGGCCATCATCAAGGACGCACAGTAAAACTTTAGGATGGGGGAAATTGAAAAATAAATAGATTATCATTAATGGGAAGCACTCTCATACACATGATAGGACACCAAACCGATGCCAAGGCCTGTTACATATGCTAGAACTTGACTGGTTTATCTGTTAGAAAGCAGCCAACCAATTCCGAGCACGTGACACTGCTACTTCCTTCCTCATTTCAGGCACGTCAAGACCACCCGTCTCCTCTTCATCCAACGTTAGTATCGCACAACATTTCTCCAGATCCTAAATATCCGTCGCCGAGAAGACAAAAATCACAAAACTCTCTGAAGAATCAAAAGTAGGGAAGCAAAGTTAACCAAAAAGCATCGGACAAAATGGAAAATGACAAAACCTTAGAAATCCAGGGAGAAACTCTCTAAGCGTAAACCTAGAGAGAGAACCGCGTTTTGTGAACAACATAATTTTTGTTGAGTTTATGTTAAGTTTTTCTCTTTCTCTCTCTCTCTCTCTCTCTCTCTCTCTCTCTCTCTCTCTCTTTTTTTCCTTTAAAAGCTCCTAGATATTAATACTCGGTAATTCGCGAGCATAGTGCCACACTTTTATTTACACACCACACATGAGGCTTGGGATGATAAAGGCATTAGTTGCACCTCCACCATATCCACAATTCACCCTACACCTATTCATTTCGGTGCAACCATGTGGAGCTTAGCCTTGTTCTTTGAATCCTCATCCTAGTGGTTAGATCTTTTATTTCCTTAATAGTTTTCACTTGTCCTGACCCAAATATGCACAAGTCCTTGGTATTGTTGGTTTGTATGGTTGAGAGTCCAAAGTGAAAAAGTGTGACATAAGGAAAAAGGAGAGATTGTGAGGTTTACTTTAATCCATCCCCGTTATGAAAGAGGCAATTGTGGGTTTGTAAGGATGTGAAAGAGACAATTCTAAAAAGCTAAAAGAGTCTTTGCAATCCCTTAATTGTTTTTTAGGTAAAAGTGGAGTGGGTGAGACCACTCCGTATGAGCAGAGTCATGAATTACTTCCAAAACTATAATTAAATCTTTGATGGGGTATTTATTTCTTTTAGGCAAAACTCGAGAAGTTGCAAAAAAAGTTAAGAGTGCAAAAAGCCTTGCAATTAGTGTGAAATGAGAGGCTTGTGTCACAATCTTGTTCACAATAGAAAGGACTTTGGGAATTGAGAAAGTATGATTGAATGGACTTCCCATTATTTTTGTCTCTTCCTTGTTGAGCATTTGCCTAATTGTATATGTTTTACCCCATATCTTAACTCACTTTATGTTTAGTTCCCCCCCCCCACCCCCACCCCCACCCTCCCAAAAAAAAAAGAGAATACATATATGAGGTTTATTTGTATTATTTGTGTCATTAGGCACATTCAATGTCTTTGACAAGGGAATGGAAGAAAAAGAAGCAATTCTAGTTGATTTTCAGGAGAGAACCGAGAGTAGCACGGAATGACCCGAAAGGAGAAGTACTTCGGAAGAAACCAGAGCAAGGAATTCTCTAAGGAGACAGGTAATGCACGGGCAACTTCACGCACGTGAAGGCATGCATGTCCATTCACGACCTACTTCATGGGTGTGAGTTTACCCGTCTCCATGCACGGGTACTCACATGCCCGTGCCGCATACTAGTGAAGAAATTAAGTCTTGTTTCATGTATTTTTGAAAAAAAAACATATCCATATAGCATAGAATATACCTCTCCCTCTCCCTCTCTCTCTCTCTCTCTCTCTCTCTCTCTCTCGGTAATTTTAGGGTAGATTAGATAGCTTAGATCTTAGAAATCATCTTAGACAAGCTTGTAACGCTATTGAAGTAGGATTGATCTACATTTTGATTACCTTCAATAAAGAAGATTTCTTTTCCCTTTCTCTCTTTAATTTATTGAGCTATGATTTTGAGTTTTCTTTGTGATTATTTTCTGCAAATGGTTTCTAAGTGCGAGTAATTATCCCTTCTTGGGGTGTAGGTTAGGGTCTATTTACCTTTCTAAACGCTATGTGTGTAATTATTGCATAAAGGGAAGAATCCCAATCTAGGGTTCACCCTTGTGAAGGAGCTTTGAATTTATCTTGTTGATTTTTGGTGCGCAATAGAGATTAACATGGCATTGGAGAGTTCATCTCGCAACGAAAGTTGGGAAATGAACTCAAGCCTCCTCCCTTTGCGACCCAATTTCTCTCTGCAAACGAAGATTGAGGATTTTCAATGCTTTTGTGCTTAAAGAGTTGAGAGTTGATACGTCACGAAAGTGGGACAATTCTTGCTCTAATCCTTAATCAAAAGATTAAGGATTCTTGTGTGCATTGTTGTGAACCCTTTGATGAAGATTCCTCCCCAATTTCTTAGAATTGAACTAGCATTTAGAAGGCAATAGCCCTAATTTTACCGCTTTGCCTTTATCATTCCTTCTAATCTTTTGTTTTGAATTAAAGTAAGTTTACATTGTGTCTTTTGGATGATTATCTATATTGATTGAGGTGTTGTTTGGATTCTTTAAGAATTCATTATTTTAGTGCCTAGTAGAGAATTGAAATAACTAAACAAGTACGCACAAGTCTACAGTTCTCAGCGGAATGACATATTTAACGTGTATTTTTGCAACAATCAGTAACCTCTCTGATCTCAACAATGTATAGTGTGAGTTCTCATTCCTTTTATAGACTACTACTCATTTCTTATTCGTTAATCAATCAAACATTTGAATACAATTTTTTTTTTTTAAATGTAATTTCATAATTTAACCAAATAATACATTAACATTTATATATCATTTTTTTTCCCAATTCCATTTCTTTCGAATTATATTTCGTTGACCTCTATTTTCATACGGTGAACCAAAAGTCATGTTACTATATGGATGACATTATGACAAGGCGTAAAGTACAAATTATTTTAAAAATAAGTTTTTGAAATAATATAATAAAAATGCATCATGTCAAAGAGTTTAATTTTTCTGTAAACTTTCCCTCAATAAGAATTAAATTTTATGGATGCAATTCAAATAAAATCCGAATTAGTTTGATGGAAATACCAAATGCTATGCTGTATGTCCAAAAAACAAAACAAAAAAAAAAAAAACAAAAAAAAAACAAATAAACAAATAAAAAAAAAAAACAAAGAAGCGTTGAATCAATTATCTAGCTGCTCCAGTACGTCCGGGTAACCGGGTTCAATAACTTTGACTAGGCCTACTTATTATTCGTGCAGATATAGACATACATAAGTTTCGTTGTCATATATTCAATAATGGAATCATTTTTTTAACTCAAAATTCAGAATTTGTCAATTGATTGTAGTACCTGTTATGAAATAAGATATGCATGCTCTAACAACTCAACCAAACCCCAGCAGAAATCAATACCAAGTCAAAATGTGACAATCATTTTCAATGAAATTATCAACCATTACCATTGATATATATATATATATATATATATATATATATATATATATATATATATATATATATATAGAGGCGGGTTCAGGTGCGGCAGTGTCTTACGGTGCGGTTATTTTTTACGGTGCGGCAACACCAATAGTTCACCAAATATGCACCATCAACGTTAGGAAATACACCACACAAAACAGAGTAAACAGAGCCCTGCATCACCAAACACACACCATTAGGTGTGAGTAAAAACACCATACACTGTTCGGAAATACACCATTGGGGGTGGTGAGTTATATGGTGTGTTTTTTTGAGTCTGTGGTGTATTTTGTGATGTTTTATTACATTTCATTGGGGTGTGTTTTTATTACACTGTTGGTGCATATTGTTAACACTGTTGGTGTATTCTGGAATTTGACCGCACCGCCTCACCGTAAGACCCCGCCGCATATGAGCGCTCTTCTATATATATATATATATATATATATATATATATATATATATATATATTATGGGTGACAAGGGATATCGCAAGATTCACAGCCACTACTTGAGGATGTGTATTAGGTAAACCTACCTAGCTTTGTCCATAGTTAATCGGCTCAAACTAAAAAAACTAATAAACCTCTTCAATTAGAAGTCAAACTTGAAAATTGGAACCTAGTTTGTGGTTACCAAACTAACAACCTAACCAACTTGATTACACTTCTCATTTGAACCTGATTCTGTATAGGGTCTAACTCTTATGAGAAGGATTCCCCGTGAATAGTGTGGACAAATGTTAGCCATGAGAACATGACTTTTCATGAAGAGGAATAAACATGGTAACAATTTTGTAATTATTACAAAATTTAACGACATACTCGAAAAATTTTAATAGTGCATTTGCGGACAACTAGGAGTGCACTCAAAATCAGTAAATTATCCATAGATACACTATCAAGTTTTTAAGTACATGGCCAAAATTTGAAATAATTACAAAATTACCAAAACATTTTTTCTTTATTTTTCTGCTATTAGATCTCCCAAGATGGACATACAAAATGAGAAAATGGTCCTCCTATAAAAAGTGAGGACTGATAATCTCAGTCGTCCATCAGGATTCATCGATGGTTGAAGGTTTTAGTAATAAAAACACGAAGTCAATTTTATAATTATTGAAAACTTTTAAAATTTCAATATTTATAATAAGGAGTACACCCACACTTGCTTGTTTTCTTTTATTTTTAAACTGTTGATCGACACGTATAGATGAATCATATCAGTCATCACTTTTTACATAAGAGCATGTTCTCCAGTTGAACCTTCCCTATATATATATATATATATATATATATATATATATATATATATATATATATACACACACACATATAATTGTGTACTATCAGCATTGATATTGATTGACATCATAAAATTAAACCATCCATCAAATAATATAATGCCAAAATATCATCATCATCATCATGTCAACCTACCCAAATTATCTTAATCTTCACCCAAACATCCATTAGGTGGCACTTGCGTTAGAATGTTCGAAAAAAGTCTTATAGTATTTGGTGTACCAGGGAAATGGAAAACAAACTGCCCCTTAAAAAATTGCTCTTTGAAAGAAAATTATTGGGCTAACACCAGACTTTTCTTTTGTAAATTAAAGTAATTGGTGCGCGTATTAGTTAGTACTATATAATAAATTAATAATATAAGAACAGATTGATTAAGTTAGTACATGATTCACTTTACTTAAAATGATTTAAATTCAATTTCACTATAATTCGATTAATAAGACTTGATTCAAATAATTCATAATTTATAAAGTAATTTTTGTAATATTTAATTTGACATCAGTTTACAAATTTATATATGTAAAAATTATATCAAAAGTCTTATTAAAAACAAAAATGAATTATAAAATATAAGTAATTTAAAGAAAATAATAAGCGAAGAAAGAATAATTAATTTTACAAATAGATGATAAATAGAACAAGTAAAATAAGACATACATAGCGATTATGAATAGACCTCTTGGTGCTAGGCGCGCATTTGGAAAGAGTCTTGATACATTTCCTTTCTAAAGTTACTTTGATATTATATTGTAAAGTTAATACCATCTAGGATCCTCCAAATATAATGATTTTGTCATGTTTAGTCCTAAACTTTCAAATTGACTACTCGTGATCCTTCGAATTTCAAATTGTTACTATTTGTGGTCCAAGTTAACCATTTATGGTCCTTCAACTATCAAATTTAACCAGCAGCGGTCCTTCTAGGAGGACCGGGGTTGGTTAAAATTTCAAAGTTGAAGGACAATGGGTGGTTACTATGACCACAGATGGAAATAATTTGAAAGTCGAAGGATCACGGGTGGTCAATTTGAAAGTTTAGGACTAAACGTGGCAAAACTGCTATACTCAGAGGACCTCATATGGCATTAACTCTATATTGTAGGATAATATCATTATTGTCTACCTATTGAGAAGTTGATATTTGTTGGCATTTGATCCGATCTGTTGAGTCATTGAGTCACCGTGATTTACATCCTCCTAAATGTTCTGTCGGGCCGGGGTGTGGGGACCCTTGGGGTTGGGGATTCAACCTTTTGGGAGAAGATATTTATGGAAGCGTACTCTAGACAACTCACATTGAACCTTATTAAGCATTTAAGCACACCATTTTCTACCATGCACGAACTTCTCAATGAGAGCACCAAATAATCCTAATTCTACCACAGAAGTGAGCTCAAAAGTGTATGTTTGATCTCAAGCAGCTTAAGTATCACACCACAATCTTTTGTGGATATATTATGGAGTGAGTTAATACAAAAAAAGGTCTTCGACTATAGTGATTTTTCTCAATTTCGTCCTAAACGACTTTGGTAACCTAATGTAGTCTCAGACTTTTGTATTTTTGCTCAATTTAGTCATCCGTTTGTTATTCTGTCAAATTGGTGTTAAATAAATGGACAATTCAGTAATCTCAATATTGGTTTCTCTTTACTCTCCGCCCTGCGAAGTGCGAAACCCATCTTTCTTTTACGAATTACTCCCAGACTTGCGAATCAAATTTTATATTCGCGGGTTTGGGAGTAATTATGGCAGTAATTCGTAAAAGAAAGAAGGATTTCACACTTCGTAGGTCTAGGAGTAAAGATTTGCCAATATTAAAATTATTGAATTGTCCCTCTATTTAACATCAAATGGATGGAATAACAAACGAAAGACTAAATTAAGCAAAAATACAAAAATCTGGGACTACATTAGGTCACCAAAATCATTTAGAACGAAATTGAGAAAAATCTAATTGAGGACCATTTTGGGTTATAACTCATTATGGAGTCGATATGAGATCTTATATTATACTTCCTCTGTTATTAGTTTATTATATCTGCATGTGTTAGGTAGTTCAGTCAATTTATGCATAGCTAGTCAACCAATAAATAAAATAATTTTATAATTTAAACTTGTGTAATGTCAAATATATTGGCTAGTGATTATATTAGTTATGATGGTAGGTGATTAAATCTAAAATAAGTCCAAATGTCCAATTCAAAGTTTGCAATAGTTTACCCTCACTCAAATCTTTACACACGTAATTAACAACATTGTGATGTCTATATATATAGAGTTTCTCTGCACCATAATGCCAAACTACACGTTCTTGATTCTCCCCTTCACTTCCTAAAATAACATATAGCCGGCTAGTTCAAACCCTGCCTGAGATGGCTGTGGCAGTTAATTTTGCTCTTCTCTTTCTTTTATTGGCAGCTCCGGTAGCTTTCGCTGCCGATCATCTCGTCGGAGACAGCAGCGGGTGGACTCAGTCTGGAGATTATACCACTTGGGCATCAAGCAAGAAATTCGCCATGGGTGACAATCTTGGTGAGTTTTTAGATGTTATTTGAAATAATAACCTTTTTACGAATTGAGGTAGTACATTTTAGTCCCGATTGAAAATTTAGAAGATGACTCTGGTAAGTTAATTTTTTGGATTTTTTTTTTTGGGTGTTTGAATATTCAAACAAAATAAAATCAAAAGCAAAATATTCATTATGATTAACGGAAAAAAGACCTAGAAAATGTCTTCTTAAAGGAATTCTTTATTTTCTAGTCTCTCTCATATCTCTTCAAACCATTATTTATTTTTCTGGATTATTATTATTATTATTATTATTATTATTATATAACAAATAATATGGTCATTTTCAAGAAAAATAAACAAAATAGAAAAAATTAAATGTAATATCTTAACTTTCAGCCAAATCAAAAAAAAAAAAAAGTTTTCTAACCTGTAGCAAAACACTAAAAAATTAAAATATATTTCTAAAACAAGTGTTATTTTCTAAATACTCCGTATCATTTAATTTTCTGAAAAACATTTTACAGGTTTCGAAAATCCAATTGAACCCCTGATTGAAAATATGTTACTTAATCAATAGAGTTGTTTTTTAAAACGAAAAATACAATAAATATAAGATAATAAATGTAAGTTTGGACATTTAGCTACCAGTCATAAAAATATTCTTATTTTTTCTCTCTGAATACTTTTTATACCAATTGAGCTGCTCATGCGGGCTTGACCTAATGAATTATATCCGTGGTGGCAGCGGACATTACTTATTTTCTTAGGACTACTTTAGAACAACCAATAGACTATATAAAATGAATTGAAAAATAAAATTGGCATATTCAAAATTTAAATTCCTCGAATTACACACACACACACACACACACACACACACACACACATATATATATATATATATATATATATATATATATATATATATATATATATTTTTTTTTTTTTTTAAAAACTGATTTTGAAAACTAATCATGGATGACGGCGATCAGTGTTCAACTACGGAGGAAGCCACGGCGTGGACGTGGTGAGCAAAGACGATTACGACAACTGCAACGGCGGAAACGCCATCCAGTCCTACACCGGCGGCGCAACCACCATCAAGCTATCAAAATCTGGGCCAATGTACTTTATCTGCCCAACCTTTGGCCACTGCCAAACAGGGATGAAGCTGGCAATCAATGTTGATTCCGGAAGCTCCGCCGCCCCTGCCGGCTCCCCGCCGGCCGGCGGCACCTCGCCCGCCACCCCGTCTCCTCCGTCATCGGGTTCCGAATCTCCGCCGTCAACTTCAACGCCCTCTGACAGAACAACGCCGACGGCCACGTCGTCGCCGCCTAATGCCGCGGCGGGTGGTTCTGGTTGCATGAGCAAAGTGGTGGTTGGGGTTTCAATTGTTGTAGGGGTATTGTTTGCTTTCCTGGGCTAGGCTGGAGGCAGTGCTATATTTGTAATTTCCTGATTTTTGTTTGCTTCAAATATTTTGTGTGTTTGTTTGTTTTTGTTATGTTTTTATTATCTTATTTACTCTCATTTTTTTAAAAAAACTTTCATGAGCAGTAAATTTATGTTACTAAACTAACTAAAGACGTGCTTTGATTTCTAAAAAATTAAAAGAAAAAAAACATTGGTGCTGTATTTTGAGAAATTACTAGGTATTATGTGATACCGTTTCATAGGTCAAAATATGTAAGATGAATTTGAACAAGAAAAATGCTAATTACGCCTAGTTTTACGACTCACAAACCAACTATTCCAAGATGTGCAGCAAAATCATTATAATTAGCATTTGTAAGGTTATGGAGAAACTGTATGTTGTATTTATTAATGAAAGATCAATAGACTATAAATAGTGTACAAGTGAGGAGAAGTAGCAGGAAGTTACAACAAAGCTAGTCTACATGAATACATTTAGAACACATAAATAAATATAGAAAATATCAGCCACATATAGGCTTAACACGCCCCCGCCACATGTTTCATGCGTGAATGAAGCACTGGATTTTTATAAACATACGTGACATTGAGGTTGTCACAGAATATCACCGGAGGCTTCACCAGACTCAACTTGAGTTCTTGTAACAGATTCTTAATCCAGAAAACCTCCATTGCTGCATTCGCCAAAGCCCGGTATTCAGCTTCTATAGACGAACGAGAGACGGACTTCTGACGTGTGGACTTCCAAGAAATAAGATTATTGCCCAGATATACCAAGTACGCGGTAGTAGAACAACCGACAGTGGTGCAACCTCCCCAATCAGGATCAATATACACACATAGTGATAACAGTTGGCCAGCCCGAAGGAGTAGGCCATGACAAACTGTACCTTTGAGATAGCGAAGAATCCGTTTAGTGGCCTGCCAGTTATGCTCCGTAGGTGAATGCATGAACTGCGAGAGCCGATTAACTGCAAACGCCACATCAGGCCATGTGATCACCAAATATTGCAGTAGAACTAGGAGGCGACGAAACTTAGTAGCATCAGTTGACGCGCTGCTCGAATGTACTTGTAACAACTTCTCTGAAGCAGCCAGTGGTAACCGGTTTCATGATCAGGCTATACATCTCAAAATAATCTCGACCAGTAGTTTGCAAGAACCATTTAGTGACAAGCCGCACCTTGTATCGATCAATCGAACAATCCAATTTACGTTTGACACAGTAAACCCATTTACAGTCGATGGGAACCCCCATGGAACAAGCTGCCACGTTTTGTTGAGGTGCAGAACTTCGAACTCTTCATGTAACACCTCGTGTTACGACCCCTAAAACCAATTAATCATTGAACCAATTGCCCAAAAGAAAGAATTAAATTACAATAATTAACTAGGAAAAGGCCCACCATAGTCTGTGGGCCCTCATCTCTAAACCCAACCCCTAGTCCTAAAAGGAATAGAGTTAGCAAGCCTATAGTAATTGGACCCTAAGTAAGACTCTTAGATATATAAATAGGGAACATAGGAGGCACCTAGAACCCCCACCACAATAATCTCTCACCACACCAAGAATTCCAAGAATTCCCCTAGGAGAAATCAAGAAAGAAGAAAGCTTAAAGAAAGACCCTTCATAGCCAAGGAATTAATTAAGGCTAAGAGGTAACCCATGTCTCAACAAAACCTATTTTCATAGATATGATTCCCCTCTTAGGATTTCCCCCATATTCTTGTGTGTTGATGATTCGTTATATTGGTGTTATGATTCCGTGGGTGATCTTGATGATAAGAGGTTCGTGATGATTATGTGGTGTTCTTGATATTCTTGATGATTATACGATGTTCTTGATGTTTATGTGATATTCCTAACGAATCTTGATATTAGAAGATGAATTGTGTTCTTGTTGAAATAAAAGTAATTAGAACCCTAGGTTGTATCGGGAAACTCGTATGGTATTATTCTTGGTATATTGGGTGGGAATTCGTATGTTCGGGTGTTGATTATGTTTAGAAAAGCATGATAGGTTATGTGTCATATGTTCTTGCTTTTGGATCCGATAATTGTCTACGTGTTGTTGTCAATTGCGTTTGAAAGTATCTAAGCATGGTTTCGGGTTCCACAATGGTTCCCGGGGCGTTTTCTGTGATAAAAGAGTCAGTGGGGGGTAGGGGACCCGCCACCTACCCGCAGCCAATATGGGCAACACCGGCAGCGGGCAGCTGCCCGCCGGGCACCCGCTGCCCGGAATCACGCCATCGGCGGGTGACCCCTCACCCACCGGCTACCCGCTGGAAAATACCCCACCTCGGGATTTTGGCATCCCCGTTTGATGTTCTCCCGACCCCTGTGGTGTCCCAACGGACTCCGTCTATCGTGCCTATGTCTAGTTTGATATTTCGGGTACCGTTCGTAGGTTGTATGAGTCTTATATATCGCATGCTAGTTGAATTGGTATCCCGTTGACCTAGGTAAGAGAAGTATGCACCCCTTAGGATTGTTCTTAGTATGTGAAGGATCACGCATAGGTTTTGTTATACGTTTTCTCCCCCTTCCCAATGTGTTAATGTGGGTTGCATGTGCTTGCTATGTGTTATGTGCGCATGATACCCCAATCCGGTTGCGATCGGATTGGTTATTCCTGAGCTGCGGTTCAGAAGCTGGCTGCGGTCAGACTTACACTCTCGGGCTGCGGTCTACCGTTTGGTTGCGATCAAACGTTTTACATGAGCTGCGGTTCATATTTCTTGGCTGCGGTCAGATGACATACTCTTGGGCTGCGGTCCACTGTTTGGTTGCGATCAAACTATGATGAGCTGCGGTTCATCGGTCGGTTGCGATCGACCCCTCCGTGTTGCGATACGGGGCAGGGTGCTGCGGGGCCGTGTCAGAGCTATATGCGCTGACCCTCATGTATGGGCATGCGATTGGTCCTGTGGCGCCAACAAAGTGTGCTATGTGATGAGATATGGATGGTTTGGTGTTATGATTGTTATGAAAACGTGACCATAGGATACATGCTAGTAAACCGTATATGCTTAGTTATGACTATTGACTGTGCTTATCACTATCTGTCGAATCTGTTCCCTACGCTTGTGAATTGTATATGCTTGATTATGTCTGTTGGCTGTGCTTACCCCTATCTGTCGAGTCTATTCCCTGTTTTGAAATCTAGAGTCTCTTAGGATATATCTTCATGCTTCGAAATGGTTTTTCGTATATCTATGTATATATCTATATGTATTGTATTTCAACGCGTTGGAGTGGGTTACCAGCATCTCTCGCTGAACAGATATATTTGGCTTTCAGGCACAGAAGAGTAGACACTGGAGCGCGCTAGAACCTTGAAGCATAGTAGTAGTTAATTTCCCTTTCGGCCTGCGCGCCATGATTATGTATTTACATTATTGAGGATAATAGTTAGTTAGCCTGTGCACTTGAGTTCTCTAGCTCAGGTGTGGCATAGCACCCCGTACTCTTTGTATTATGTTTTGGGAATTAATGAGATTTCACCTTTATTATATAAGTTTCAAAAGTTTTAAAAATTTCGGGGTGTTACAGTTGGTATCAGAGCCTAAATTTGACCCTAGGATAAGACTATCAAGACCGGACCTTAGGACGAAGACCTGAACTCTAGGTACTTAGGGACATAGGACTCTTAGGACGCGCGGTGAGACTGTGAAACCTAAACATAACCTCCCCACACTTTATCTCTCCCTTATCTAAAGAAAACTTTCCCCCGCTTATCACAGCAAAAGAAGAGCACCGAACTCTAACTTAACGTTCTTGTAAACGTTGACCCAGAAAGACGACAGCATGGCACCAAACAGAAGACAATCAAGGACTCCAGAACCCGCCGCACACGACCCCCTGACTCAAACCCTACAACAACTAACACAAGTCGCCCAGGCACTAAGCGACGTAGCTCTTCGCAACAACAGGCCCCCGCCCCCTCCATCAAACGTGAACTCAGACGTCGCCCGACAAGTTTCGAACCATCGACCACCCACGTTCTCAGGAGAAGAGGATCCCATAATCCTGGAGGAATGGATCTGGACCCTCAACAAAATTCTAGGGTTAGTAGAATGCCCAGAAGAACGCCGCGTAGAGATAGCCTCGTTCTACTTCGGAAACGAGGCCGATCTCTGGTGGATCCACGAGGGGCCCGCTTACCAACAAGAACCAGGTTTCAACTGGGAAAACCTCAAAACGCGACTACGAGAACGATTCTACCCAACACACGTAAAAGCATCCATGTACGAAAAGTTCCTCCATTTGAAACAAGGGACAGCTACTGTCATGGAATACCATAAACGATTCCTTGAACTAGCACGCTTCGCGCTAGAACTAGTCCCCACCGAGGTGACCAAAATAGAGAGATTCGTATCGGGCCTCAACTTCGAAGCCCGAAAAGCACTAGTAGTAAGTAGACCTCGGACCCTCAACGAGGCTTACTCCAGTGCCGCAAATCTCTATCGAATCCAACTACTCCAACGTGGGGTTCAGGAACAGATACGTAAGAGAAACACCGGGGGTGGAGCGCCACCGGTGAAAAGGACGAGAAGCGACACCAACACAAGACCGAGCAATCTGACCAACCAAAGGCCGGCCCTAGGGAACAACGAAACTAACGCAAGGAGCTTCCCTTGCCCGAAATGCAACAAAAGCCATAGAGGTAAAGACTGCATGGGCAATCCCTGGCGATGCTTCAACTGCGGTGAAGAGGGGCACAAGGCCTTCCAGTGAACTCAACCCTAAAGGCCACGCCCGACCACCATGGGTTAACACGGGGGCACCACCCACCAAGGAAACTACAGCACTCCTGGGAAAATATTCGTCGTGAGCCGCACCCAGGCCGACCTCGGGAACGAGGGCAATCTCAAGGAGGGGAACCTAACCCCAGAAGACGAGGACCGTGCAAACCCCGCGGAAGAAAACCAAGAAGATGAATTCTGTCTAGGATAAACCGGCAAATTCCTTGTAATCACCTTCGTAGTAAAACTACTTACTTAGCTCAATTACTTCGGAATTTTTAAAAATAAAAGATTAGATCGAAATCCGATCCTACGTACAAAGATAAAACCAAAATTA